TGGGCAGAAGCGCTGGTCCCTTTCCAAGGCCCCGTAGCTTCGCGTCAAGAGGGTATTTGTCCTAAACGAAACCTCTTCGCCGGTCCGCTCTTTGGAAGAGCTATACGGCGGATAAGCCATAGACATCAACCCGAGCCCCAGCTCCCTTCGGCCGACAACCCCAACGTCCCACCAGAGAGCTGGGAAGCACCCCCAGCTCGCCCCCCACCCCGCCGACCGACTCCCGCCCAGAGCTGGCCTCACCGGTGTGGGTCGGGTTTCCCCTCCCCTTAAAAGAAACCTCAAATGTTTTTGCAAAGTCCAATAAAGAACTTCCCACGACTTCTCCCAGTTTTGATTGTTGATGGAGGGTGCCCGTGCCTGTGGTAGGGCAGCTTCTGTAGAGCCGGGTCTCGGGACTCTGAAATTGATGGGCCACAAAGGCTGGAGCCGGTTCCCCGAAGGCAGAGCGAGGGCCCTCAAGCCCAGGTCACACACCTGAGGATCCCCTGCTGGGATCCTGATTTTCTCACTTAGGAATTTCATGATACTAGACGTGTGAAGTCCACTTCACTGACAAACTAAGGGCCTGCTGGCTGCATTCTCTGACAGCCACCAGGGCCAACTGAAGGAAGCCCTAGGTTGCTGTCCACTTATCCGGGGATGTGGGTCTAGGCTGATGGGCAAATCAAGGGTAATGGCAAGGACTATGGACACAGGAGCAGCACAGGAGAGGGGCTTGCTGCCCCCTGCCCTTTCCCAAGATGGGTTTGGGCCTCAGTCTCTGCCAGGAAAGGAAGTAGGTCGGCTGGTAGTGTGAAGCTGGGGCTGATAAAAGCTGCCTTTGAGAGCCCATGCCTTAGAATGCCCTTCTCCCAGGAAAGCAGCTGCTGGAAAGGGGAGGCTGGGGAATAGTAAAAACTGACCCTCTCCTCCCCTCCCCAGGTGTGTGGCCAGCCGCTGCCACTGCCCTAGTCCTCTCCTCCCTTGCCACTCAGGAAGCAGACATTGATGTGGGCTCCTCCGGTGAGAGGGATGCAGAGCAGCAGCCCGAGCACCCCACAGCAAAGAGCCCACTTCCTCACTCTGGGTGGTGCGCCCATCACTAATAGCCCTTGGCCGAGTCCATCCCTGCTCTCCCCACCTGGGCAGGTTGGGGAGCCCCAACAGCAAGGAGCCTCCCGGCTGGGACCCCTTAGACAGCCCTCAAAGAACTGAGAGAGATCATTCTCAGCCCTTACCCGCGCACCTTCTCCCCCTCACCCAATAATTGCTATGTGGCCAGAGAAATGCAAGCTTTTATTGGGGAGGGGGTGTTAAGTCAGGCAGAAGGAGGTAGGTGGTCCAAACTGTGCTCCCAAAACTGGGTTTTCTAGTTTGAACTTCTCCCTGGCCTAAGAGGCTTAGGGCTGGAATGTCCCAGAGAGCCTTGGATGGCCCCCGGGGGCAGGCCATAGCACATTCCTGTCCTTTTCCTAAAATTCCTTGAATGGGGAGGGGGGGCACAGCAGGCTTAGGGAAGTGTACCCCATGAATAGATGGAAGGACACCACCACCACCCTCATCAAGGCCCTCCAACCACCCTTAGCAAATGGAATTATTCGCCCCTCCATGGACAGTCCTTGGAGTGAGCCCAGCCAGCCTCCCGAAAGGGGCCCTGTGGACTCTCAGCTATCACAACCCAGGCTTCTCTGCTCAGCCCAGCCCCAGATTTCCTGAAAGCCACAGTCATCATGGCACACTGTGGTGTGGGGAGTATGTAGAATTGGGGCCGCGGTGGTTCCAGCTCCAGGAAACCCCTTTCCCTTCCATCCTCATCCCCTCCTCAAGTGACCTGGCAGAAGGCGGGGGAGGGGTAGTGGTGGTTATGTCTAATGTCAGGTGTGGGAACTGAGGCACAGCCAAGGGAAGCCTTGCCCGAGGCCACACAGCCTCGGGGGTACAGGGAACCTCTCCCCTTACTGCCTCCTGCCTGTGTGAGTGGAGATAGGAAAAGTCTAGGGGTGCCCAAGAGGCCCGACCTTGCTGGACTGTCCTCAGCTAGAGAGTGAGGCTGGACCATGGGAGAGCAGAGGTGGCACTGATACCAGGGTCTCTGGAGAATGCCCAGGATCCGGCCCCCACTCTCTCCAGAGTTACCGCAAGCTGCTCATTCAGCAACACTCACCCCCAGCAAAACAGACTCTTTGTAGCGACCCACCCCCCACCCAGCTTCATTCCTGCTCAGGGGCTAAGGCCCCTGGGAACACAAGGTTTTCCCCAAAAAGGGTCTGTGACCCTTTCCAGCCACACAGCAGGCATCAAGATTTCAAATGAAGGGCTGTTGTGCCTGCCTGGAGCCCTGCCTGCCAGAGGCCCTGGGCCCACAGAGGCATTCCGCAGGTGCTCCCTAACTGCCTTACATGCCTGAACAGAGAGAGACACAAGCCCCTCAGACTGCACAGCTGGAGCTGCAGTCACAGAACAGTTCTAGCCCCCACCTAGGGTGACATGAGACTGTTCCCCTGGGGGACTTCACCCCCAGGCCTCTGGTACCCATCAGTACACTATTCCTTTCCATGGCCCTACTCAGAAGGTTGTTGTGCTTCATGGCTTGGCGCGTTTGGAACACACCTCCTACTGGCTACCAGCCAGCTTCTGCTCCCCCTGCGACCCAGAGCCCTGGTGGTGTGCACACGCCTGGGTGCTGCTCTGTGTGTGCGCCTGTGAGCATGACATGCCTGTGTGGCTGTGCAGTTTATCGCTGGGCATGCTTGCTCACGTGTGCCAGACCCAGTGGCACACTGCTGAGGTAAGTTATGTGAAGGGGCACTCCCTGGCATGCTGCACCACCTATTTGAAAGCTGCTGCAGGAGACTTGGCCAAGAAATATGGCCAAAGATGGGGCTGAGGGCAAATGCTGGGCAATCTTACTTCTTCCTATCCTACCCCCATCCCCCAACCAAGACTAGTTTCCTCTCAGGGATGGGGCTGAGGGCAAATGCTGGGCAATCTTACTTCTTCCTATCCTACCCCCATCCCCCAACCAAGACTAGTTTCCTCTCAGGGATCTCTGAATTTAGAGAAACTTCCCTTTGCGGGGAGTGAGGGCAAGAGGTGCTGAGTGCCCGTAACCCAAACTCAGAAGCTTCCCCCTCCTGGTCTCAGCCAGGAGTGGGCCAGGCTCAGAGGTGCTGAGGTTTAAGAGAGTGGGAGGCAGGCCTGCACCCACGCCTGCCTTAGTCTTCACCAAGGAGCTCGGCCCAGGGCCTGGTTGCCTCCCTCTGACAAAGGTCAGGGTGAGGATTCACAGGCAGGACTTCGAAGAGAGTCCTAGACTCTGACAGAGAGAGCCTATGCGCAGGCAGGCAGTCCCCAGCAGAAGCCCCCAGCAGGAGATGAAGCTGCCGGGGACCAGGTGAGGGTGCTGGGTTCACAGAAAGCAGGTGAGGAGCAGAGGGTAGCCTGGGGCCTCACTACGTCCAGCAGTAGTCAGGGCCATGTCCTACTGCCCCATGGTGCCCATTTACTCAAGATGCTGAGGTCTTAGGGCCACTGAACAATTGTTGAACGAAATCCTTCCATAAACGTTGCTGAAGAATTCAAGGCAGGAAGGGTTCTCTGGGGCAAGGGAAAGTAATAACACCTTTAACATAGCATCTCCCTAAGGAGGGTTCATCCCTGCTGCCGCTTAAGAAACTTGAAGACTGGTGGCTGCGATGGACTTGGGAGACAGGAGTCACCTGGCTGCCCAAGGAAGCCAGAACATGGACCCCAGGCTGGTAGCACTGCCCTGCAGGGGGGCAGAGGCAGACCCTGTGCCTGCTGTCCTGGCTGACTCGGCCAGTCCGCGGAAGGTGCCTGCGGAGAGGCAGGCTCCGCAGCAGCAGCTGTAAGGCCTGCCTGGGCTCCTGGGGTCCCCACTGCACTCCTAAGCAGCCTGGAGCCAAAAGAAACGTTTCGTCTGATTAGAAGCCATCATTTCTATCCCAATCCCGGAAAATTGACTGTGGTGTAGAGGGGGAGGCCTAAGCAGCAGCCTTCGGGGAGAGGGTCCAAGCTAATTAGGAGGCAGCATCCGGGGGCCCATTAGAGCGCAGGCTGCTGTCACTCAGTCGGGCTCCGGTCCCGGGAGAAGAGGAGCGGGCTGGGGAGGGAGGGACCCGCGGCCCCTAGACGAGGGCACCGGTGGGAACTGCCGGAACGGGCCCCGGGCTCTGCCCCCGCCCTGGCGCTAGCTCCGAGGCGCCGGCTCGGTGAGCTCCTTCCCAGCGAACCTTCGCTTATTCTGAGGCTGTTCTCGCCGGGGCTGGGGATTGCGAGGCCGTCCACACAGGAGCTGATTCTGCGCGAAACGAGTCATTTGGGGCCCGAAGTGGGCAAGAGCCGTGCGGGACTTGCATGCCAGATGCGTTTCTTTTGTGCGGCCGAGGGAGAATTCGGTGTGTCACCGGGGAAGGAGGGAGAGGCGCGGCGAGGCCGCGGGGGGCGGGGAGGCGGCGAGAAGGTGCCTGCAGAGGGGGAGGGTGCGGGCGAGGCGGGGGAGGGAGCGAGGGAGGACAGCCGCGAGGGCGCGGCGGCGCGGGAGGCTTGGGGCTGGATTCCGCCCGCGCTCCCTGGCTCGCTCGCTCCCTCCCTCCCCAGCCCCCTCCCACCCGAGCCCACCCCACCCACCACCCCTGGCGCAGGGATTGCTGGAACCTGGCTGAGTGTGCTGTCGCTTTAAGACCGAGTCTGTCGGCGCCGTCCGGAGCCTTAGAAACCGGCCCCGGATAGGGAGCCGGGGCCCGGCGGGCGACTGAACCCCAGCGGCTGGAGCGCAGCGCAGGGCCCGGCATCGGGTCTCGAGAAACCGTCGCCGCCGCCGGCCTGGCCCCGCAGTCCCGGGCGGTCCATGGGGCTGGCGCGGCGTCGACACGGGCGCGGACAGCCCCAAGGGGCAGCCGCTTAGGCACTGCGCTCCTGTCCCCACAGGTCGCAGCCAGAGCGGCCGGGCGCGCCCAGCCCCGGCTCCTGGAGCGCCCACCGCGGTCCCCGCCTACATGGACGCCTTCAAGGGGGGCATGAGCCTGGAACGGCTGCCGGAGGGGCTCCGGCCACCGCCGCCTCCTCACGACATAGGGCCCGCCTTCCACTTGGCCCGCGCCACCGACCCCCGCGATCCGCTCGAGAACTCGGCCAGCGAGTCGTCCGACACGGAGCTGCCAGGTAAGAGCAGCTCCCCGCGCGGTGCGCACGAAGCCACCCCCGGGCGCAGGAGGCGGGGAAGCAGGAGCCTGGGCCTGGCCCCGGCACGGAACGGACAGACTCCCTTTCTGCCCCGCGAGCTTTCCTTTTCCCGCTCTCGACCTGGTGATGAACGCGGAAATTTACACACACACACACACACACACACACACACACACACACGAAGGCTCTTCCACGCGATCCCAAAGCTCTAAGAAACAGGCTGATACGAAGACCAGCGGGCCCACTGACAGCCCCCTCCTTCCCGAGCCAGGTCTGGCGCAAAGAAAAACGAAAAGGGAGTTGGGTTTGCGCGGCTGGGCGCTGCGAGGCCGTTCAGAGAACGAGGCACCCATCAGGACAGGAATGCGGGTGGTGGACGAGAGAACGTGCCCATAGAGGGGCACAGGGGCAGACGGTCAGCGGGAGACACAGTAATAGGGAGAAAAGGAAGAGCAGCGGGGAAACGGGGTGGGGTGGGGGTGAGACAAGAACCAGAGAAGCGAACGAGAATAGAGAGCTACGTCAAGAGAAGGAACGGAGGGCGAGCTGGCGTAGGAGAGACCCAGCCTCCGACAGGGCCAGTCTGAACTCGCAACGAAAGCTCTTGGTCCCAAGATCCTGGTCCCCCAGGCTGCTCAGGGTTCCCTTCGCGCTGTCTTTTAGTCCCGGCTGGAGCTTTGGCTGGACCCGCGAGCCGGCAGCACAGGCCGAAGGGAAGGCGGCTAGTAGTCCGCGGCCCGTCCTGGCCGCCCGGGTTTCTGAGTGGCTTCTGCGCCCGCGGTCGTAGCCCGGCGCTGCTGCTTGGTTGTCTGGCTCCTGGCTCCCCTCGGCGGGCCAGCGGCCGGCGGGCTGCAGGCTCCTCTGCCTGCGTTCATTTCTTAATCCACCGCTGAGTGTGTCTCTTCTCAATTTTAATCTCTTATTTGTTTCTGTTTTGCATCCCTAAGTGTCTTTTTCTGAAGAGTTTTGTTTGCTTGGTTTTTTAAAAGTCAGGGCTGGACTCCACTTTTGTTTTCAAGTTTTTAGCGTGCTTTTTTGGTTGGTTTCTCTTTAAGACCCAGATAAATCGCTATGGATTGATTTTTTTAACTGGATCGATAATTTTGCTTTGTTTTCAAAGCAGTGCGAATTAATATTCTGCGTCTGTTTCTCTGAACTTTAAAATATCTAGCTGCAACATTGTTCTTGGGAAGATTTTTAAAGTCGATCCAAAATGGCGTATTTCCCTGGGATTTTCTCAAAATTCACTCAACAGTGGTGCTCTTTTGGAAGATTTAAATTATGTGATTAGAATGTATTCCTCTGCAATTGAAGTTTTCTCTTCACCGGGGTGTGCGTTTATTGGGAGGTTGCTACAGCAGGCACCTGAAGGATACACTGTTCCCATCCCAGAGAAGTAACTGCCGCCTTCGGCCTCGGCTGCATGAGCAGAGAGCACCGTATTTAGTAGGGTGTCTGTTTGCACACCTATTCGGACTCCATCAGCATTGGAGCTGTGTCCCTACCTGCCTCTTTTTGAGAACTTGTGACCCATTGTGTGTCTCGAGGCGGAGAGCTGTGAGCTTTTCTGGGTGTCTGTGTTTTGCTTTTAAATTCTTTTTCATGTTTTGGTGTTTCTATGACTGCAAATGGTTTGTGTCCTTTCAAAGACAGAATTCAAAGGAGAAAATGTAGACTACAGCTCAGAGTAACAGGGTCTCTGAGACAGTCTGTCTGGGTTGCTGTTAAGGTTTTCTCAGCCATGAGACTAGAAGTCTGGACTGAAGGCCCAGAAATGGCCGTATTACGACGGAGTTTTGCCGAGCTGAGGTCTCTCACAATCTGGGGAGAAAATAAGTGGGGAGCTGCAGCGCCCAGCCTAGCTCTTGCTCCTCCAACCCTCCTGAGGGTAGAAAAGAGCAGAACTTGCCTAGATTCTAGTTCAGAAACCAGAGACCACACCACCACCCCTCAGACTTAGAGCCTTAAGAGCCTGAGAAAGGTGTGCATTTACTAATGACAGCATAGTTTAAGAAGGAACATAGGAACAGCCGTGCCCAGCCGGGTTCTTGGCTGACTGTGGGTCAGCCCTTGGTAACTCTTCTCCCCATGCCAGTCTGAGCCTACTGACTATCTGGCACCAGGGTGGGCTCTTCCCAGTGGGAGTGATGCCAGGGCCCCTGGCAAGAGGGAGGGCCACCAACACTGAGCTGGAGGGTGGGTGCTTCGGTGGAGCCGGGACCGGGTGCAATCTGAAGCCCCAAGTAACAAGCGCCCTGTCCTGCCTGCTGCAGAGAAGGAGCGAGGCGGGGAGCCCAAAGGGCCAGAGGACAGTGGTGCGGGCGGTGCCAGCTGCGGCAGCGCAGAAGACCCTGCTAAGAAGAAGAAACAGAGGAGGCAAAGAACGCACTTCACGAGCCAGCAACTGCAAGAGCTGGAGGCCACGTTCCAGAGGAACCGATATCCGGACATGAGTATGCGGGAGGAGATCGCTGTGTGGACCAACCTCACCGAGCCAAGAGTGAGGGTGAGCCCAGGGTGTGGACTTAAGGGGGCCAGCTATTCACCTAGGGACCCGAGCCCAGGTCTGCCGCTACTTTCATGGACCCCTTAAAGGTGTACACCCATGTCCAGCCCTCCACCCTCAACCCTACCACAAAGACCGCTCCTTCTCTCTTGCAAAAGGAGACCCTGCCTTATCTTCTGGCCTGGTCAGTAGCTGCTAAGACCCTTAGCAGCTTGTCCCTCTGCTGGTCAGCTTCAGACCAGACTCCTTTGGTCTTCATCTTCGCTGACCCTCAGCTCTGCCAAAGACTGTGACCCCACAGAGTTGTCCGTGCCCCTTAGATTCACTCCCATGAATCTTAGCCTAGCAAAGGTTGTCCCCACTGCTGGGGACTTCGGTAGCTGCTGGTACCACCCCCCAAAAAAGGAAAGGCATGCCTTGCCCCCCTGCTTCAAAGAGTTCTGAAGGGTGCTTGAGTTTGGCATCTCAAAACTTCATAGGCAGTGTGACCCATCTGATGATACCCCATTCTCTCCAGAATCTCAGGATATGTCCCACCTGCCCCCTCCCAGCCAGTAAGCCTCGAAATTGGATCTTTGCCTTATGCCCTTGCCTACAGGTGGCAGGTATGGAGAGATGATGGGTTCCAGTGGCCCTAGAACCAAATCCATTTTCAGATGCACAATCTCACTCCCAAGTCCAGACTGCACTTCCCATTCCTCACTCTTTGGTTCCCAATAAAAGCAAAGCTTCCTGGCCAGGACAGCAAGAAAGAATCCGATATTGGGAGAAGCTCCCCAGCCAGGCCAAAGTGCCTCAGACTCCACATCCTAGCCTTCACCCCTCCCCAGTCAGGATGACTAAACCAGTGGGATGTGGAGTGAAGAGACTGAAATCACTAATGCTAAATTCACTAATGCTGTCCCTGTTGATGGTGGTGGCCGGAGGGAGTGGAGGGGGGTCACCAGGGCAGAACAAACCTGAGATGTAGGGGTTCAGTTAAGGACACTAAGCCCGCTCTCCGGAGGAAGAACTTGGAGGGCTAGGGGCGCTTGATGGGAGGATCAGTGAGGACAGGAGCTGGGAAAAATGAGATTCTTACCAAATTGTTGTGCGGGAAGGTGGAGAAGGAGATGATAGTGAAATTAGTAAGAAGTGCAAGGAAATGAAGTGTTTGGGTGCCAGAAAGAAACGTAGTATTTTGAACGAAAGGATTAAGTTGGGTGGGGGCAGAACTCTTTAAAGGAGAGAAGATCAGGTATTTGGAAAGAGTGAAGGGGAAAAAACGAAATCTTTAGAAGGATGGAAAATTGGGGGGAAGAAAAGAAAATGGACTATCAGAGGGAGGAGAATCGGACATCGAGTTAGACCAAATGAACATACACGTTTGAGGCAGAAGTGAAAATATAAAATTGCCAAAAAGCAGACCTTTGGAAGGATGGAAAAACTAGATGGAAGAAGTGAGGGCGCAGAAAGACCGCAAAATTAAGGGTAAAAATCACCTTTTGTACTTGAAGGAGAGGATGAAGACAGTGGATCGAATCTGTAGGAAGCAGAGGCCCATTTGGAAGGCGAAGCGCTTGGGAGGAAAAGAAAGGACAATCTGTTCAGAACAAATTAGGATCCCTATGAAAGGAAAACGAGTTTAATTTGGGAAGTGGCTAAAGATCTGAAAAAGGGAAAGAGAGAGATTTCTATGGGCAAGAAAGGAATCATTACGGAGGGAAGGCTGGGGCGGAAATAGCAGTCAAAGAAAAGAAACGATACTGGGAGCAAAGGAAGCGGGCGGAGGGCTCCGGGAGGTGGGAGCGGGGGTCGCCTTCCCGCCCTCGGCCGCCCTGACCCTCTCGCGCCTCCTTCCCCAGGTCTGGTTCAAGAACCGGCGAGCCAAGTGGCGGAAGCGTGAGCGCAACCAGCAGCTGGACCTGTGTAAGGGCGGCTACGTGCCGCAGTTCAGCGGCTTGGTGCAGCCCTACGAGGACGTGTACGCCGCCGGCTACTCCTACAACAACTGGGCCGCCAAAAGCCTCGCGCCAGCGCCCCTCTCCACCAAAAGCTTCACCTTCTTCAACTCCATGGGCCCGCTGTCGTCGCAGTCGATGTTCTCGGCACCCAGCTCCATCTCCTCCATGACCATGCCGTCCAGCATGGGCCCCGGGGCCGTGCCCGGCATGCCCAACTCCGGCCTCAACAACATCAACAACCTCAGCGGCTCCTCGCTAAACTCGGCCATGTCGCCAGGCGCCTGCCCGTACGGCACCCCCGCCTCGCCCTACAGCGTTTACCGGGACACGTGCAACTCGAGCCTCGCTAGCCTGCGGCTCAAGTCTAAGCAGCACTCGTCGTTCGGGTACGGCGGCCTGCAGGGCCCGGCCTCGGGCCT